TTGAAACAATTTTAGATATTACTTGATAACGAATACCCATCGCTTAATAATCGAGCAATCAAACTGTTGTCCGTATTTTCAACCAGTTACTGTGTTAGTTTTTCTCCGTTTTTTTTAGGTGTGCATTTTTGCACACCTAGAAGCATATATTGGGTGCCCGACATTGCATTATTACGCAAATATATGTTATTCAGAAATATATATGTTTCTGTTCCGGTTATCTCAATTTTTTGCTGGTCCGCCAACACATTTAATTTAATTTTATCGGTTCGCCAGGGTAAAAAGGTTGGGAAGTACTGTGCTCAGGGGCGGACTAAGCCCCTTTGGTGCCCTAAGCACTGGAGGCTTTGGTGCCCCCATATGTGTCTTTTAAAATACATATAATTAAGTGTATTATCCATCAAAAATACTCACAACCAACAGTAAAAAAATAAAAATTCTACGAACATTCTTAGGTTTTCTTACAATTTTTTGACTGTGAAATTTTGCTCATATTCCCAAAACTAATCCTATTCTTACATAATACATCTTTTACATTAAATAATGAACAACACAAAATTTTGAAAAGATGAAATTGAAATAAAACAATACCAACAGTAAGGAAGCAAACGATGTTTTTCGGTACATTTACTTGAATTTGATTCTGATAAATTTTCTCATATTATAAAAACAAGTCTCTCTCCATACTAGATACTACGCCACTGACATTACAAAGGCACCACTAACATTTGAAAAGACAGAAGTCTTTCACTTACTTTTGAAAAGTTTTTTCCTAATTTTTTTAGCTGCAAAGTCTTTGATTAGATCCTCAAAACTAAGCTTATGTAACACATCTGCCTCTATCTATACTCAACAGAGATAAAGCATCTAGTATTCTAGTCTGTCTTGTTTCATAGTTGTTCTGTATGGGTTTTTAATATACTTCAGCTGAGAAAATGAACGTTCTGCTGAACAATTTGTGATCATTAATGTTAAAAATATTCGAAAACTATTGTCTACATTTGGAAAGGCGCACGCAATGTTATATTCTACAAGAATTTTGTAAAGTTCAGCATGACTGAATCTTGATTTTTTTTCCTGTGTCATTGAATTTATGGAGCACATATAAATGAAACTGCTGAAGCTCAGCTGAGAAATTACTGTTGAAATCTTCTGGGTAAGCATCAATAAGCTTTTGACAACCCTGCGAATACCTGCCCTTCTCAGCAGATGAAGAGACATTTGGTTGCAGTGGTAGCGTGAGCGCTTCATAGCGTTCAAATTCATCTCGTGGAATGCGCAGCTGGCCTCGTAATGTTGCATACAGATGCGCGCATGTTTGTAAGTCTACATTCTCACTTTGCAGAACTTGACTTACTCTGTGAAAATTCTGTAAAATTTCATTCCAAAACAATAACATAAAACGAAATCCAGCTCTTGCATTTTATCTGCAATATAAGTAGTCTAGCTGCCTAGGTTTGCATCAACTGGCTTAGCAGAATATGATTTCCATATATTCTGGGAATTGTCACGATTAAGACTCATGCGTCAAGTCTCAACGTGAATCGAAATACCAGATGAACCGAGTACAAACTGCAGTTTAAAATTTTACCAGTACTTATTAGTCTAGTCTACCTTACCAGAAAACTCCCCAACTTCGCTGACCTCTAGATCGCTGAAATGCGATCGCGGAACCGCCACATAGTGCACCATTTTTAATTTTGATGTTGTCGCTACACCAAACTTTCGACAAGTAAGTTTCAGTGTTCATCACTAATGTACCTTCCCCGAGCATCAACCTCCTTGTTGACTTCGAGTAATTGGCCAATCAGCAAGATGCAAAAAAGTGACGTAACAATGCACCCTTTTCGCATCCGCTCAGACACTTTTCTCACTCAGACAGATTTTCAGGCATGGTTGTAAACATTACCTCGTTTTCGCGTTTTTTATCTCTATTCGTTAGTTTTCAGTTGTGTTTCGGAAATTTGAGTATAAATCAAATAATTAAATGATCACCATGTCTTTTTATAAGTTTTAATTCAATTGCAGTAAATGAAAAATTGGTGTAAAAATAGCTGTGTTAGACCAGGCTAAAATTCCTTACCGGTACTTATAAAAAGGTGATTATTGTACGCCATGGAACATAATGATGGTCTCAACAAATACCCCATTTTACAGGGGCCAACTCGCGAAACCACTCTTAAAATAAGCCCCGAGAATTTTGCAATTGTAAAGTATAGGAAGATTTTTTCGGGGTCAAAGGTCGAGGAAAGGTCCATTGATGTACACGATTTTTTAAAGATAGTTCGCAAACCTCCAAACATTGATCGAGAAGCTTAATATGATGCTTGAGGAAAAGAAAATACGAACGAGTCTGAGTTGTCTGTTCAACTCGTAATATTTTATTAAACACCGATGAACTATTGAAAATTCTGTTATAAAAATTTCTGTGGTGCCCCCCTTTGCTTGGTGCCCTAAGCACGTGCTTATATTGTTTACTGGTTAATCCGCCCCTGACTGTGCTAGTAGACTTGCTGCAAGAGCTCAAGTCAAACAGATAATATATTATTTTATACACTCCAGATTATTAGATGTTCTTGTGAACTCGATATACGCCGTTATCCTTCATTCTATGCTTGTAGTATATTTTCTTAATATTATTTTGACAATGTACACCTTGTTAACGCATATTTTAATATCATGACATGTACCGCAAAAATAGTTCTGTAGTAAATTTGTATTGTAGTTCTGTCAGTTTGTTGAAATAGGTTTTGTGCAAGTAGCGATACGTACATCAGAAATTTTATAATAAAATGTGTATCTTTTGTTTAATATTTAGGTCTCATTTGGTTGGTTTTAACCTTAACTTCGTATATGCTGACCATACCGCCGAGCCGAGTTATCCGAGAAACATCTGCGAATAATTAATTTTTCAGAAGAATGTTCATTCGTTTTGCCGCTGCGAAAGTTTGGTCCAAATTATTGAGCATCGTCTTTTTTTATTCAGCTGTTTAACAATCGCAGATTTAAATCACTTATACAGCGATAGAATTCTGGACACAAAATGGCTGGTGTGACGTCACACGAGCGCTTACAACGTTACCAATGCATGTCCTCACTTGGATAAAAGTCACTTTGAACACGTGAATCGAAGTGCAAAGTGAATATAATACAGTCAAGTCATACGGTAGTCGCTTTGGTGGAAATGAATATGCCGATATAGATTATTACGACATAAACACACCTCATTGCCATCAGCGATGCGTGGAAAAGTCACGTTTCACCTACCGGTACCTAACTGCTCGCTACTCTAGGCCAGTCTAATTACTAATTTTCAGCAACTACCTTTTGAATAGAGGGCAACGAGCTAGCAATGTGTGGATAAACATGATCATTCAAGTTTCTTTCGATATAAACGTGTTATTTCAATGTTTGTCATAACTAATTATTTTTTTTCACAAAACCGTTAGCGTGCCACGTCGGAGCGCATGGCGTGCCAAATTTGGCACGCGTGCCACGTGTTGTGCACCCCTGTTCTAGCGTTCCCAGGCATCGCTCCATTACTTGTGATATTTACAATAGCTGCTCTGGCTTGTCATCACGCACACTTGGAAACTTCTTTAGAACTTTTTCACATGCACCAGCGATAAAATGAGGCTGACCATATTCTTCAAACAGCCACTGCCTAACAAGCTTGTATCCATTCTCAGGCTTCTTTGTGAAGTATTCTAATTGTGCACGAATTCTCTCTTCACAATATTGCAACAAAAACACAAGCTTCTGGCTATTTGTTTCTAGTTTCGGTGCCAGGTGGATGTCAAAATTTGTCATGAAAGACATATACTTCAAAGGATCTCCATTGAACACAGGTACCTTAGGTTTCTGAAAGATGAATTCTTCTCGTTCATGATAATGGTGATACTGTATAACTGGATATGATTCTCTTGTTCTCCGCTGTGAATAATATTGTGGCCCAGACTCATAAACATAATCATTAACCGACTCACGATTTTCCTGAAGTGTCCTATATCCACGAGTCTGCACATCTGTTAACTCATTGACACTACTTTCATTTATCCGGAAAACGTGATGGTGTTCACGGCCAGCCATTCCATCTGGTTCGGCCGCAAATGGGCAAACCTGGGCCATCGCACGATTCACAGGCTATAGCTTTGACCATTTCCAGTTCTATTTGGAACAGCATTATCATCTCTTCTCAATGGAGTCTGAGAATATCTGAACACTTCATCAACTTCTTGCCTTACCACTGACAACTTTTCAGCGTTTTCACGTTGAAGCATCAAACGTTCAGCTATCAAATACTTTTCCTGCAAAGCAGATCGCAGAATGTTCATCTGCTGCTTTGCCCTGGATTCCATTATAGCTTGAACAATGAAAATCCTGCAACTTTGAATAGTATCTTGTTGTTTTTCGACGAATTGTTGCAAGATAGTTTATAACTTGCAGCAAGACACAATGAATGAGTCGATAACTTTTTGCCTTCAGCAAAAAGGCAATAGTCGAAAACTTTTCGCATCCAGCAAAAAGGCAAAGTCGAAACTTATTGCCTCCAGCAAAAAGGCGAAAGTCGAAAACTTTTTATGTAGAAGCCTGACGGGGTGTGACCTTATGCACCCTGCTTGCTACACAAAGACGAATGGCGCTGCGGCTGAACCGTGCTCTAGTCTATCCCAATACAGCAATATTTGTCTATGTTCGGTCCAGACAATCCTCTCCAAATTATCCCGTTTCATAACTGAGATAAGCAAACTAAAGTCCACAAGCCCACAATACGCAACTTTAAACACAGGAGAATTGTAATGTGTCGTGAAATTATCAAGCACTTGCTCAGCACAAAATATATAATCGAGATGTCAGATGGAGCCAAATAGATTACGGAAACAGATGACGAATACATTTAGAGATGAGATAGAGGGGTTTTCTAAAGAAAACAAATACACTATAAATACTATGAATTTGCCGCATAAATAACCAACATGCAATCAAATTATATCGCTTACCGACTGTTTTTAGCCAAGGTCAACAATATATCGAAGCTTTTATGTAACTGCAGAACACTGAAATAAACATTAACAAATGAGCACGACAGTAACAGTACGTAACCCTACAGCAACAATTGTGGCAACAAATATAATACCAACAGTATTTCATCCAAATAAGACTACTACATAACAATCCAAATGCAAGGAAATACAGAAAACTCACCAAGAATATTTCACAAAACAATCAAAACGCAGGACAGATTCACAAATTGCAGTTCAATAATCCAGAGTTCAATGAAGCAAATTTTAAACTATTAGCAAGTTAAATAAGCATGAAACAAAGGAAACCATAATAAGCCCACTATAATTAGATATGATACAGCTTTTCATATAATGCTAAATCGCCATAGAAGTAACGCATTGCAACAGCAAACTAGCTGTGCACATTTACGATTTCGGCCCTGACGCGAGGCGATACAATAACGATGTAAACACGCAAATTGCAGTAGACAAAAACCTTCTCGGCTCGGTCTACAGATAATAAAGAAACACATCAAATGCGAGTAGTGAAATGAGACGTTTGCAACGTTGACAAACGAAAAGGTGCAATACGTGTCAGCAATAAAGAAATAAACACTAATGGCGCTGGAGATCTAACAATATTGCACTTAATATTATATCGAGTGGAAGGTTATTTTATTTTAGGCATCATGTAAACTGGTGATTAAACTGACAGCACTCATTCTCAAACGGACAGGAGTGCTTGCAGTCACGGCTCCAACTACTGGCGAATCTAGTAGTTTTACGCTGTATCTTTTATCGGACCAAAGCAATGCAAATGTTTCGGTTTATATAGTTTTGAATTGAGTTGCATATTTTTTTAATTCCACTATTTGCTTAAAGTTTTAGAAATATCTCAGATCGCAACGAATGCCACTTATGAATTTGAATTTCTGACTTCGCCAAAGCCTGACGTACTTTCCCGCCAAAATGGCTGTTTAGTGCGGATTCCCGTTTCGCTAGGAAGCAGCTTGGCTTGGTTCGACTCTCAAACAATTGAAGCAGCTTAGTTTGAAAATCTGTATATTTTACACTATGGTGCCTGAATGTTGTAAAACAGAAAGTTTGGAGAAAGAAATACTGTTACGTAGGTTGTAAACTACTGGTGCTGTAGACTACCGGTAAGTAAGATCTTCAGTTTTTGCAAGGTGAGTTAATTTATGCCACATCTGTCATTATGAATCAATTTTGCATTAATTGGATTGGCCTGTTAACTACAGCATTGCCGTACTAGATGAGCTATAACATCTCTGCATTTAGACAATGAGGTATTGTAGGCCTACCGTACCATAGTCTGTTATTTTACTTTTAATTGCTTATGTTCAATCTTTGTTATCGGTATTCTATTTATTGGAGTTCTAAACCGAGGTAGACTTTACACCAATTCAGAAAAGTTTCTGATTTTTCGTATTTTCCAAAAGCAAAATTTCAGACAATTCTGATAATGTTAGCCTAATCCTTGAAAAGGATTTAGGCTACAATAGCCTACTGGCAGACTGGTAAAATTGTAATTTCAGTTACCCTGCGATTTAAAATGACTGCGAGATTTGGACTAGCCTAATCTACAATAAAATGCCTTTGGAAAGACATCTCTAGTGAAACTGCAAGAGTAGCTAGTCATGCAGTAGACAGTCATGAATTTTTCATGCCTATATCATTTTCATACATCTTCAATCTGCTGATTCTTTTCAGTTCGAAAGTGGAAAAACATATCCTGCCATTTTACCTCTGGGGCATCCGCATTTGGCCCTTGTCAATTCTGTCATCGTATCAACACCACAAACGAGTTTTTGTAAAGATGGAGTCTGTACCTCCCTACAAATACTTGGGTCTGAACATAGATCATCGGCTAAAGTGGGATGTACATGTTGACGAAAATCGAAAAAAAGTTTCGCGCGCTGTAGGAATTCTGAGTAAACTTCAACATTATACGAACCGTAGTACATTAAAAATAGTTTATTACTCCCTTTTCCAAATATATATTCAGTTGTTGCCTGGGGATCTGCCTCCAAGAGTTGTCCGACCGTCGTCGGTTGCGGACCTGTCAGCTGGAAAAGACTAGTGAATGCTATGCGTTGTATGTTTCGGTATCTGTATCGCGTAATATCAACATCAGCAAAGCCCATCCACTGGAATTAAAGAAGTTTATGGATAAAAGATTGGATTTACAGTTAAATGGTGCACGATCTGTTACGGGGATATTGCGAGGTTTCGATCCTTTTATGAATCTAGACGTGAATGATGGAGTAAAGCCTAGAAAAGATTCGTTTTTTTTTAATATTCATATACATTGAGACGTTTTTTTGTTTAACATCGCTATCTGGGTCATCTCTTATCTCTGGGGTCAATTTCAACCTCTGTGTCAGTAGATAATATTGGTAGTACAACTGCAAAAACCATACTCACCAGAGATAACAGTGTTTTATAAACTTCAACTACAAATTTAATTAGATAACAAACCTTGGGTGTCGCTGCCTGATTATAATCAGTTCCCAGCGATTTCCCTTCCCAGTAAAATGTCTGTCAATTTTACTTTTTTCGTAATTTCGTTTGTTATTTTTGCTGGATGGAAAAAATGAACTTGACCATGATATGAGTAGACATTTATACGAAGCTGTACTCCAGATGAGCAAGTAACTTCATTAGTCGCTATCAGTTACAAATCCTTTTTGAAAGTCGTGCTTGTTATTCCTCGGGTATTCTATCACCTAACTATTGTACTTATGAATTTTATTACATAACAAACTGCGATACTGGGTGTATCTAAAATCAATCTTGCAGCCTATTTTGGTGCCTATTTTTCAAAATTTTCTCAGCCTTTACGTCGGGCTTTTTTGGTCATCCCGCTTTACTTGCCCGCGAGTATCCTCGCCTTGAAATTTTGGCCCGCGGCCAAATAAGTTTGGGAACCCCTGCATTAAAGTATTACAAAACAGAGTTGTTAAAATTCTCTACCAGTCGTCTACTCGTCTCAACATAAATACAATGTCCTATCAAACCGGTAATCTTAAACATGAAGTTATTTATAAACTAGAAGTTTGCAAACTAATGCATCAATACCACAACTGTTGTCTTCCAAAGGCATTCAATAACTATTTCACCAAGCAATGCAGTGTTCACCATCATAACACTAGATCTGCTTCTTCCTTTTCATTTTATGTACCCCGTCAGACTTATACAAAGACCCAACAATCATTTAAGTATGAGGGTGTAATTTTGTGGAATGGTCTCAAGGGTGAAATACGAAGCATGTCTTACCAACTTTTTAAAGTTTAAATTAAAAAAATTAAATTTAAACCCACTATAAAAAGACAATTGTTATCTACTTACGATGAATGTTCTTGATATCTCAACAGATCAGTGGCTTATCTAGTACTAAACCTGAAGGAAAATAATATTAAAAATAGTTAATAATTTAGGCCAAAACTCATTGTACCTTGCATTCAATTATTAACTACGGTTGTCGATTTCATGACATAATATACTCGTATTATTTGTTTATTTTTTGTCCGAGCACGTTGACTCTATTTAGTGATTTTACCAGTGGAGTGTCCGTTGCCGTATCTTGCCAGACCTAACTGGTCTCTAATTTGTGCTACCATTATACAGTAAATTCAAATGAGTACTCATACCCTAATAATTATGATTTCATTACGTACCTGTTTTTCTGTAACATTTCCTTTTAACTTCACTAATAAACTGAAGCGATGGACTGTAACAGTGGCAACTTATGCTGCCTCTTAGGCTTTTGTTATTTTACTAATTCAGCATTTTTGCTGCTTGTCAGTAATGCTGTGCAGAATCCGGTTGCCGGATTTGAATCCGGCCGGATTTTCATGATTTTTCCGCTACCGGATTGGATCCGGATTCGAAAATCAGACACTGAGCCGGATTCATCCGGATTTTGGAAAAATCGAATTATTTTGCTTCTCGAGTCTCCACGGCACTAACTACATGGTTTTCAACTTCGACGACGTTCCGTCCTGCTCTTTGCCGTCACCACACGTATTCTATTTCGGCTATTTCAGGAATGCTTTGCTACGCTAAGGAATCCGGATTCGAATTTGAAATATCTTCGGACGGATTCGGATTCTGTTTTTAGCAAATTCGCACACCACTACTTGTCAGCGAGCTAAATCGGGGGATACCCTAAGCAGACTTAATGTATTCCCATTTAATTTGTATTACGCAATGTTGGTTATTTATTTACCTATCGCATTATAGGGTTCACCTACCAAGCTTCGCTTATCAGTGATGACAGTTCTCCAACAATCAAGTTGCTAAAACTTGGCTACTGTTTATTTAGATATTTGAACCTGGGGTGTCGCTGCTTGATAACCAGCTTTGGTTACCCGCGGCTTCCCTTCCCCAGTGAAATTCAATATTATTTATTCGTCTTAATTTTACATGTTAACTTTTTTTACTGGATGGAAAAAATAAACTTGACTATGACTATGACTATTATGGAGTTGTTGATCAGCTTGTTAGTATTTTCTTCTTGTTACCGTATGAAAAAGGTGCTCCCGGAGTATGTGAACCAAGGTGGCGGACACCGGAAAGTAAGTATGTGTACCAGATTAGGGTTAGGACATAATTTTATTCTAATTTTCACCTGAGTGAATACCTTTTTATTAAATTGTCAGCGATTTGGTTTGTTTAAATATTCATTTTATGTACAAGTAATTTCAAGAAATTAACAAATGCTTTTATCAAAATATTTTTCATGAATTACTTTTTCTAGTTTTTTCAACTAAAAACAATCCGAACTAAAAATTGTGATAAACAATTTATTCCAACGAAATAATTTGACGAAAAATGACGAGATTCTGAAACACATCTAATTAATAAATATAAGTGCAAAGGTGAACAAGAAATCGTATTTCACAATGATTCACACACAAAAAAAAAATTTAAAATGTTTCGAATAAACCTATGTTCAGACTGACCAAGGGAGCAAACGAACAATTAACTTGCTTTTTCATTATAGTTCAACGGTTTGATAGACTTAAATTTCTTCAGAAAGGAAACTTTAAATTCATGAAAATCGAAAAAGATTTCAAAATTGAATATAAATATGAAATTGAAAACTCAGACTCAAAAGTAAATCAACGTTATATTCGTAAAAGATTTCACAGCACAAAAAACTTCCTAAAATTGTGATTAGTAGTCATGCTGCAACCCATCCCATCCGTATTATATGCCCATATGAGTGTTATGAGTCATACATAACACGGGCAAGCAATATCCATATGGAATATCTATTTAGATTTTGGAAGTAGTAAGTTAGAATAGTAAGTGAATTAAGCCACCCATGTGTGCAACAATACTATCGAACTCAAGTGATTTTTCTGTTTTTTAAGTTCGTCGATAAATTCATGGGCAAAGTTATAATTCATTTTCACAGATGGCTCCGTGATATGAATAGAAAAAAAGAACATTCCCAATTCCTTGCTCCTGTGGATCTGTGTTTCGATCAACACGAACAACAACAGTTGTTCTCCATGAATAGGTAATCGGATAACCTGGAAACCAAACTTGTTCTGGCAGAGATACAACTTGATCATTCGTTGAG